TAATAAACAGCGGATTTATATGCACACGTTTCGTACGATTTTGAAGAATTCGTCGTTTAGATTTTTCCGGTGACCCCGGCACCAGCCGGTGCCAGCAACCCGAAGACAACAAAAACGATGAGCACTGACAGCACTGACAGCTGACATGGTAAACGTGAACGTGAATGAAGAAGGAGCATTACGGGCTGTATTGTCATTGCTGATTGAGGATGGCTGGTGGCTGCTGTACGCGATGTTTGATGACTGGGCAAAATATGGACAATCGCCCGTTATTCTGCTGCCACTGATAGCACTATTGTATGATGGAACGACGGCATCCGGACCGAGGAGAGTCTCCAAGATATGCTGACTTGGACGTTCCTCTGACATAAAGACTGCTCTTGAAGCTCGATCTGAAAGCGATGAATGCGCGTTATAATTTCGCATGTGGGCGAGATTGGAGAGGTTTCGGTTTGTGGCAAACGGGGAGTGGTCAGGAGGCTTTGTTTTCTGGAACGCTGCAGTGTGAGGGGATTTGTGAGAGCTTTTAATTCGGCAACTGAAAATTATCGTATCACTGACAAAGATAAATTTACCTCGACGGCGTTGTGTCTTCACAATGGGTAGAGATGTCGAAAGTCTGTAAACGCCATTGTTTTTAGCTTGAAGGGGAAGCTTAATTTACTATATTGCGTACATCTTAAGCATACAATGTTTAGCAAGTTAGCAGAGATCAAAATTAATGACTCATTATGAATATCACAGTTTTTAGAAATACAATTAAATAAACCGCACATTAAATTAATTGGAGATGTATCTAGACTAGAGCATTAGTTCTAACAGAGTTAATATAAAAAGAAATATGTTGGCCAGTATTTAGTCGTGGTACATGAAAATTAATTTTACCCAAGAGCCCAGAACAGTCAGTTCTATTTTATCTAAGTTTTTCCAGTACGACTCCCTTTAAGTTTTAGTCAAAAACAATGGTGATAAGTTTTCTTGTATAAGAAACAATTTTGCATTTAGAGATATTCAACATTAATATATTTCGAATAGAAAAATTAAGCAAAACTGGAGATAGTAACAATCATTAATAAGAATTAATTTCCATGTATAGTTTGAGATCATCAGCCAACATAAGTTTATTGCAGGGAATAGCATCAGGGAGATCGTTAATAAAGAGCAAAAACAACAAGGGTCCTAAGTTCGATCCCTCTGGGACCCCAGAAGAGTAAATGTTTTGGAGCTAAAATTTCTGTTCTTCACAAATGAGATTCTACCATTCAAATAAGAGATTAAAAGCTTGAATAACGGATTTGTGAAGCCAATATTACAGAGCTTTTGCAATAATAAACTATGATCGATTAAGCGCGATTTCATCAATTTTAATTTTGAAAAGCTTCTTTCACATGAAGCCACTGAAACAAATGGTTAAAAAAATCTTAGATACAGCGCTAGACTCGGAACAGACTCAGAATAATAATTTTACGATGAATCTGAAAAACTGCAATGTAATCCACTGAACCGCTTCTTGGAAAGAAATGCTATAGGCTTCCAAGTAGCGCCTCAGTCGTAAAATTTCCAAAATTATGTCCTCTGCAGAAAATTCATCGCAGATTTTTGTCAGATTTGGGACTATTCCATGAACATCTTTTTTTGATGACGGTAGCAGTGGGATTTATAAACTTACTATTGACGTTGCAATTGCTATTTCCGCTGACGTTGCATTTAGAGATGAAAATTGTCATTTATAAACTCCGTTGCCAAGTTGCCGTTGATAGCAACTTTGATGTTCAAATTTTGCAGTATTTAAAGGGGTTGTAGAAGAAAAGTGGAGGATTTACAATTTTAGACATGTTTTAAGTTTCTTGTTGTCGAAATAAGTCTACACATACTAAGAAGAAAAAGACAAAATGAAGCCCCGCCCACCCGCCCTATCTCAATTGTGATGAATTTTTCATTCGTTGTGAAATCGAGGGGCGGGGTTTAATTGCAAGTTTCATATTTGTCTACAAGAATTTACCATTGTAAACATGTTTTAAGTTTCTTGTTCTGAAAAGACGACTACGTGTATCAAGAAAAAGACAAAATATAAACCCCACCCACCCGCCCTATCTCAATTGCGATGATTTTTTTTTTTAATCATCGAGAGTCAAAGGAGCGGAATTTAAATGCAAAATTCTTATTATTTCTCTATAAGAAATTACCATGTAAGATTTTTTGAGTACAGTATTATTCAAAGAATTCTATGTATATTAAGAAAAAATTAAAGCCAAAGATTAAGGCCACCCATACCTGCCCTGATCTAAATAGTAATGAAATTTTCATTAGTTCACAGACCTAAAGGCGGAGCCTAAGTGCATCACAACTGAGATGGGGTGGGTGGGCGGGATATATATTTTGCCTTTTTTTCTTAAGTATTCTTTGAACAACACGATACTCATTTTTAATTTCTCGTAAAGACATGAGTATTTTGCAGTTAAGCTCCGTCCCCTCTTCGTTCACGGCGAATAAAAAAATCATTACAATTGAGATAGGGCGGGTGGGCGGGGTTTCATTTTGCCTTTTTGTTTTGATATGTGTAGACTTCTTTTCACAACATGAAACTTAAAACATAGAATGGAAAATTTATATAAGGAAATATCAATTATACAATAGGATTCGTCCTATAATTGCAAAATCCATGTTTCCTTGTAAAAACCATGTTTTAAGTTTTTTTTATGAAAAGATGGCTATGTATATTAAGAAAAAAAAAGACAAAATATAAGCCCCGCCCACCCGCCCCGTCTCAATTCTGATGTTTTTTTTTATTCGCCGTCAGTCAAGGGAAAGAGCTTAAGTGCAAAGTCCATATTTCCTTACAAAAATGTGCCATTTTAAACGTGTTTTAAATTTCTAAGAATCAAAAAAATCATCAGAATTGGGATGGGGTGGGTGGGCGAGGTTTATATTTTGCCTTTTTTTCTTAATATACATAGTATTCTTTGAACAACACGATGGGTACTCATTTTTAATTTCCTGTAAAGAAATGAGTATTTTGCAGTTAAATTCCGCGCTCTTGAGTCACGGCGAATAAAAAAAAATCATCACAATTGAAATAGGGTGGGTGGGCGGGCTTACATTTTGCCTTTTTGTCTTAATATATGTAGACTTCTTTTCACAACACGAAACTTAAAACATAAAATGGAAAATTTATATAAGGAAATATCAATTATGCAATAGGCTCCCCCTATAATTGCAAAATCCATGTTTCCTTGTAGAAACCATTTTACCCATGTTTTAAGTTTCTTGTTGCGAAAAGATGGCTATGCATATTAAGAAACAAAAAAGGCAAAATATAAGCCCCGCCCACCCACCCTATCTCAATTCTGATGATTTTTTTTATTCGTCGTCAGCCAAGGGGAGGACCTTAATTGCGAAATCCCTATTTCCTTACAAAGATTTGATATTTTAAACGTGTTTTAAATTTCTAGGAATTAAAAAAATCATCACAATTGAGATGGGGTGGGTGGGCGGGGATTATATTTTGCCTTTTTTCCTTAAAATACATGGTATTCTTTGAACAACACGATAAGTACTCATTTTTGATTTCCTGTAAAGAAATGAGTATTTTGCAGTTAAGCTCTGCCGTCTTGAGTCACGGCGAATACAAAAAATCATCACAGTTGAGGTAGGGCGGGTGGGTGGGCTTACATTCTTTTTGTTTTAATATGTGTAGACTTCTTTTCACAACATGAAACGTAAAACATGTTTTAAAATGGAAAATTTTTATAAGGAAATATCGATTTTGCAAAAACCATTTTCACCATGTTTTAAGTTTCTTGTTGTGAAAAGATGGCTATGTATATTACGAAACACAGACAAAATATAAACCCCACCCACCCGCCCTATCTCAATTGTGATGATTTTAAATTCTTAAAAATGAGGAAATTTCATCGATACCCACTGTGAAAGAATCATTCGATTTTTTAAAATTTATCAGAACATCTTCAACTGTAATTTGGCACGGTGGAATAGAAATATTAGAATTAGTGTTAAAAATGAGGTAAGAGTATTCCATAGTCTGTAAAAGCGTCAATAATTTCAGATGGATCAGATAACTCATTGTCTTTATAGATCATTAAGCCTGGAATTCTAGATGTTCCTTTTTTGCTAAAGCTCCAGAACTTTTTGGAATCAACAAAAATGGATAAGCAATATTAATAAATTGTTTAGATTTGGAACGAAGACGTTTAAATGGATCATAAAAGCACAATTTTTTAATCAAACAAAGTTAATGACGCCACTAGTAAACTATGAAGGGTAATATTTTTTTTTTATTTTTCGACCACCTCCGAAAATTCTGGAAAAGTGGCACGTTTTCGACGAAATTAAGCCGACAATTATTTCGACGAGTTAATTTGCAGATGCAACAACATTCTATTTACTAATTAATTAATTAATTAGTTTATCAAACTCCTCCACACACTGGACGTTCGCACTTCCCAATCGCCCAGATGTGCTCTGGGCCAGCGATCTATCCAGCAGGAGCAAGCCCGTTGATATATTAATGACTGGGACGTGGAAGCGTCACGGTTCATTAAAAGAGAATCTAAAATATGATGACTGGTAATCGTTAGTCGTGTTTTATGGGCAGATGATGAACGAGGGTTGGGCGTAACTCGGGTCGTTTCCTGTTTCTGTGTGGTGCCAAGCAGTCTGGTACCAGGGTCTTCAGACCTCCACTTGATGTCGACCCGCGTCAAATTCGACAAGTCTTCTATTCCCTTGTCTTGGAGACGCACAGAGGTGGTCCGAGATAATGTGTTCGGGGAACGAGAAAACAAGACAGGAAACGTGGAATTGTAACGAGGGATGGGCGATTCGGTTGACATTTTGTACTTTCCAAGAGGGTCGTTTTGGATTCCACAGTATAATACTGATGATTCGTTGCACTTAATTCTAGTTTCTATTAATTGATAATTTGTAAACAGTCGGACTTTTCTAAAAAAAAAAAAGGGATTTGGAAATAATCACACCACTTTCATAAAATTACAAGAATTATATTAATTTTTTCCGAAAAGTTACTGTTTTTAAAAAACTCAATTTATCACACAGCATCCCTCTCAGATTTAGTCTTCTACCCACGGTTTTTTACCACACAATTTTAACCAATACGACGACTAAGCAAGTAATTAAAACCACCGACATCGAGCTGATTTCCCCTGAATTGCAAAAGTTTGTGCTACACAAACTACATCTGCCTCCTTGCTCTTTCACTCCTTTGCATTTGTCGTGAAACGCTTGATTGTCTACCGCATCAACGCATCCCTTATCTAGTTCCTTTTTATCTGTAATCAACAAACATAAAACACATAGGCGCAAACGGTGCCCTAATTGCTTTCATTTCTTACCTTTCTCTTTCAAAGTAAAACAAAGGAAGTGGCCGTCGTGTCCTTTCGAGCAGTCCTGAACCTCAAAAGGTTCTTGGCATTTCTTGTCACAAGAGAAGCACTTTCTGACTGCTCCGGAGACGACTGTATAGCACAATAGAACAAAAAATAAGCAACTTATGCAATGCACGATTTTCATTTTTAATACGGTTTAGTAATGATGTGGGTTATGAAATGGCTGTCTGTCAAAACTGACTTGACGTATTTGTCGTCAAAGGCGGCGTGATTTTTACAATATTTATTTAGTAAAAAAAGTATGACTATTTTCGATTTTTTGGATTTTTTTTGAAATTTTGCATGAAGCTCAAGTTGTATGAGCAGTAGCACCATCATGCTGAAACTGACTCATCATCATGCAGTTTTAATATTTCCTGAAAACATCATTTGCAATATTTTTAAAACTCCGAGAAACTATTTACCATAAAAAAACTGGACAGATAATACTGCAGACAATGGGGCGATTTAATGAAAAGTTGTTCCAGATGTAGACATAATTATCGTAAAAATTCTAAATGTCCAAATTCTAAAATGTGATTGACAAAAGCTGAATTTGTGCTATTTATACCAGCGTTTGAATACTGAGTGATTAATTTATTGTTTTCTTTAATCCTAAGGGAAATGGGAAAGGGAAAAATTACCGAATGAAAGAAAATAGGGTCTTGGTTTCCTACAAACAAAGAAAAAAGGTTAGAGAAAGTCTAAAAGGCAATGTTATAATAGAATAAATGAATTAATAGTTGAAACGCGAATATTATGTGGGGTTTCGAGTAATAATACCAAAGAAATCTAGGTATGTAGTATTTGCTAAGATAAGACTGATTTTGTCAAATGATATACCTTCTAAGATGTTAATTAAAGTACGCAGAGCTAGTACTTGCCAAAATAAAACTGATTTCAGCACTCGCCCTTCATTTTCTTACAGAGTAGGCCAATATCAGTCTTATCTTAGTAGGCACTAGCCCCACCCACCCACCTTCTCTTTTCTTAAAGGATATGTCATTTGCGAAAATCAGTGTTATCTTAGCAGGTACTAGCCCCGCCCACCCACCCTCTCTTCTCTTAGAGCGTATCTCATCTGTCAAAATCAGTCGTATCTTGACAGCTACTAGCCCCGTGCACCCACCCTCTCTTCTAGTAGCTGCTAAAATAAGGCTGGTTTTGGCAAATGACATACCTTCTAAGAAAAGAGAGGGTGGGTGGGGTTAATATTTGCTAAGATAAGACTGATTTTGGCAAATGACATACCTTGTAAGAAAACAGAGGGTGGGTGGGCAGGGCTAATATTTGCTGAAATAAGAGGGATTTTGGCAAATGACAATACCTTCTAAGAAAAGAGAGGGTGGGTGGGCGGGGTTAATATTTTCTGAGATAAGAGTGATTTTGGCAAATGATATAGCCTCTACTCTTCATTTTCTCAGAGAGTAGGTCATTTGCCAATATCAGTCTTATCTTAGTAGGCACTTATGTTAGCAGGTACTAACCCCGCCCATCCACACTCTTTTTTCTTAGAAGCTATGTCATTTGCCAAAATCAGTCTTATCTTGACAGTTACTAGCCCCGCCCACCCACCCTCTCTTCTCTTAGAGCGTATCTCATCTGCCAAAATCAATCGTATCTTGTCAACTACTAGCCCCGTCCACCCACCCTCTCTTCTAGTAGCTGCTAAGATAAGGTTGATTTTGGCAAATGACATACCCTCTAAGAAAAGAGAGGGTGGGTGGGAGGGGAAAATATTTGCCGAGATAAGAATGATTTTGGCAAATGATACAGTTTCTAAGAACATAGAGGGTGGGTGGGCGGGGCTAATATTTGCTAAGATAAGACTAATTTTGGCAAATGACATACCTTCTAAAAAAAGAGAGGGTGGGTGGGCGGGGCTAATATTTGCTGAGATAAGAGTGACTTTGGCAAATGACGTACACTCTAAGAAAATAAAGGGCGGGTGGGTGGGGCTAGTATTTGTTAAAATAAGACTGACTTTGGCAAATGATATATCTTCTAAGATAATATAGGGCGCATGGGCGGAGCTAGTATTTGCCAAAATAAAAGTAATTTTAGCAAATGATATACCCTCTACATTTAATTTATTTTCTTAGAGTGTATGTCATTTGCCAATATCAGTCTTATCTCAGCAGGCACTAGCCCCACCCACCCACCCTTTCTTTTCTTAAAGGATATATCATCTGTCAAAATCAGTCTTATCTTGACAGCTTAGACTAGCCCCACCCACCTACCCTTTCTTTTCTTAAAGGATATATCATCTGTCAAAATCAGTCTTATCTTGACAGCTACTAGCCCCGCCCACTCACCCTCTCTTCTCTTAGAGGGTATCTCATCTGCCAAAATCAGTCGTATCTTGACAACTACTAGCCCTGTCCACCCACCCTCTCTTCTAGTAGCTGCTAAGATAAGGCTGATTTTGGCAAATGACATACCCTCTAAGAAAAGAGAGGGTGGGTGGGAGGGGGAAATATTTGCCGAGATAAGAATGATTTTGGCAAATGATACAGTTTCTAACAACATAGAGGGTGGCAGGGCGAGGCTAATATTTGCTAGGATAAGACTAATTTTGGCAAATGACATACCTTCTAAAAAAAGAGAGGGTGGGTGGGCGGGGCTAATATTTGCTGAGATAAGAGTGACTTTGGCAAATGACGTACAGTCTAAGAAAATAAAGGGCGGGTGGGCGGGCTAGTATTTGTTAAAATAAGAGTAATTTTAGCAAATCATATACCCTCTACTTTTCATTTTCTTAGAGTGTATGTCATTTGCCAATATCAGTCTTATCTTAGCAGGCACTAGCCCCACCCACCCACCCTCTCTTTTCTTAAAGGATATATCATCTGCCAAAATCAGTCTTATCTTGACAGCTACTAGCCCCGCCCACCCACCCTCTCTTCTCTTAGAGGGTATCTCATCTGCCAAAATCAGTCGTATCTTGACAACTACTAGCCCTGTCCACCCACCCTCTCTTCTAGTAACTGCTAAGATAAGGCTGATTTTGGCAAATGACATACCCTCTAAGAAAAGAGAGGGTGGGTGGGAGGGGGAAATATTTGCCGAGATAAGAATGATTTTGGCAAATGATACAGTTTCTAAGAACATAGAGGGTGGGTGGGCGGGGCTAATATTTGCTGAAATAAGAGTGATTTTGGCAAATCATATACCTTCTAAGATAATATAGGGCGCATGGGCGGATCTAGTACTTGCCAAAATAAGACTGATTTTTGAAAACGACGTACACTCCAAAGAAATAGAAAATGCGTGGGCGGGGCTAAGATTTGCTAAGATAATATTGATTGGACAAATGACGTACCTTCTAAGAAAATAGAAGGCAGACGGGCGGGGTTAGTCTTGCCAAAATAAGACTGATTTTGGCAGACAGTCTAAGAAAATAGAGGGCGGGTGGGTGGGGCTAGTATTTACTAAGAAAAGACTGAAATTAGCAAATAACATACATTCTAAAAAAATTATATATACAGGGTGTTATTGAAAGGTACGTACAACAAAACTGACAGTTCTTCGCGGAGTCTAAGAAGTCTGAAAACTAGTTTTGTGTTGTTAAAATTTAAAGGGAAAAATTAACCCTTATCCAACCTTTTTAGACGCTACTGAAGGATAAATAGGTAAAATTAATTTATTTTAGTAAATCCTAGCAACTGCAACAATAATAAAATATAAGAGACCCTTTTGTTCTTATAGAAACGTTATAAATCTTTTTATCAGAGGCGTACAACGAATTTGGACATAAATTTTAATCTCTAAAAGGAGAACACTTTTACCCGAACTTTTTTTGCTTTTAGCACCCATATTTCGAGACCAATTGCCAATTTTATTTTGTACGTACTTTTCAATGACACGCTGTATAATACTTTTATTAAACATTTGCGTGTATGAAGTCAGTGATTTGGAGGTCGTCATAATTGATTTCGGTAAACAGGAATACGAACAATTTTTCGTAAACTGGAATTTTTGTCTACTAAAGTTTAAGTGAGCACAATGGCGAAGTGTAGTTTTTCTAAAAACACTCGCAATAATTTTTTAACAGTTTGGGACTGCCTTTTATGTTACTTTATATCTAGTTTTTCGAAAATTTTGAAAAAGGATACAAAATGGAAACCGAAGAAGGAGATTTTGTGGTTAACAGATTTATTGTGACAAATTATTATCACGTTTCAGAAGAGAACTAGCTAATTAACTAAATTACTGATTTAATATAGGTACCCAATGTATATTCCACCTGCTTCGATGAGATTGTAGACGCGTTTCTTCATAGAATTGACCAAATGGATAAAGTAATTGACGTTCAAATTCTCCCAAGCCGACAAGATAGAAGTAGAAGTCCTTATAAAGAGCATCAATACATTTCGCAACTATACCTCAGTTTTATTCATTTATAAGCAATCGCCAACGATTTTTACCTTTTTCTCCCTATTTTGTTCTAAAATCTGCATTTTCTTTCCCTTAGCACATGTTTCTTGCGAAGCTCACTTTTAATATTTCCGGTACTATAAAGAAAGATAATCCAACCCGAGTTTTGGGTAAAAGGGTCTGGGGAATTCCGTGAGCAAAACGCCGACAATTCAATAACTCAAACAATTTTTATTGCACAGCAGGTAGGTTTTGAAAATAATTAAAATACCCATTTACAGACTCCGACAAGTTGTCTCTTGTTTTTCTAGGAAGAGCTTTGATGGGTTGAATACACTCAATTAATTCGTGTTGGGTGAGATCCAAAGTGTAAAAATGTTTTAAAAATTATTTATCATCCAATATTGTGTGCGATTTTTAAAAATGTCCAAAATCAAATCGTGTTTAAAGGACAATGTGGTAAAACTGCAATAATGTTTCATAATTCAAATAGGACAACTAGTTGTCAAATTAATTGCATAAATTCGCATAATAATAAATCAATGTTTGAAAGATAAATAAATAAATAAAATTTTGTCAACCACCTTCGAAAGTTACCCAAAGAAATTTTTTGTAAATTTCGATCCCTAGAAGTTACTTTCGGCTTCACTTCTCGAAAATTTCTACCACTTTTGCAAAATTCCTCTTTTAAAATATCGCGGTTTCAAGGATTTAAAAAAATTTACTTTCAAACGGAATATTTCGAAAATCTCGCTCCGGAACCACATAAACATTATGTTTTTCAATTCAGCATATTGAGGTCTATA